TCGAGTGCATATGCAATGTACAGACACGCAAATCGGCAAGTCAAACACATTCAACAAGGGTACACACAAAGACCTATACAATGGACCTCCCTCAACGAACCGGCGAAGCCGAATCTTAGTATTCGCTTATTCGGCTTAGTGACTAATGCATCCGTTGAAAAGCTCTTGCCTCCCCCGGACATCGGTTTGTGCTACAGGGCGGGGAAATGCGGTGTGAAACAATGGTTCATGTGACCAAAAGAGAAATCGCTAGTGAGGCAAGTGAAGAGGAGAGGATAAAATGCATTCGGTTCAAGTGCCTACCTGCCCAGTCAACTGTCAGATGTAAGGACGAGCCTTTGTTTTCATGCCTGTCCGTAAGACATGGGTGCATGTAAGTGCCTGTTTCTGAGTGCAAATGCGGGAACAAGTCCGCAGCCGCACTCTTTGTACCAATTGGCCGATTTGCAATGGCCTCATGCAGAAGTGTGCTGTAGCAGCAGAATTCATGGTGAATACTGCCCTTTATCCGATGGATGTGTTCATAAGGTACAATTTTTTCTTTCGGAGTTTACTTTTAATGAGTGTGTGACTTCTCAATTTTGACATCTCGTCCAAATGAGCGACTAAATGGCTAAATATGAAGATATTCCCTTTCACCATGTTGTGGAATATACCGACGAACATTTCATGATTCGTGTTGTATACACCATGCCTATTTGACGAAGAGATGAACGACTCAAATGTGCACAGCTTCGAAAAAAAGACTTGCTTGATGAGATAAATCCTGTCCAAGTCTTACTTCCTCGAGGCACCAAGACACCTATCACTCTCCAGCCAAGAATTGTGTGTGCACAACTGCTACTTTTCATTTTCTTGCTCATGATAATGCTCACTTTAAGAGATTCTACGTTTTTCTGACAGATAATGGCATTAATAAGACCTCTTATTCTCTTCAGAATCCGTTTATCATATCTTTCAATAGATAGGGTACCTTGTTGTTGTAAAATTAGTAAATAATTAACTAAATTCTCACTGTCTGCCCATGCGCGAACAAATAAACGAATGTGTGTCTCAGCCTGAGAATGTTCACTTTTTCTTTACTGTGACAAGTCGCCAAGGTGGACGCGTAGTACGGATTTGCTGAACTAACCAGAATTTCTGGAATAAAGAAATTGGGAAACTGACTGTGTGCCTTTCCTTTGCTTTGACGTTAGCCTAAAACTCTATCTCCTATTTCATAGTCAAGGGTCATTTCATTTGGGCTTGAATCTGGCAAGTTCACCAGTAGGTTATCGCATCTCCTGCCCCGCATACGTTTGCCTTTCTGACGGCGTAAAAATATTGTGAAGATGTGTGCTTTTGTGCCGGGAATGTATGGAATCCAGACCATCTGACAATGCATCACGAAGGCTCCACACCCCGTGTCGTGCTGACCTCGAGTCTCTGACCCAAATCACTTTGGTCGGGAGAGCACGTGCAGGCCAACGGCGCAGCAGAGGTCAGGCCGACTCTTAAGACCCATACAAATTTGCACAAGCCGGCCTGTGTCGACAACCGCATCGACACTTTTGATGGGCATTCCCTCTGTTCTATCCCATACTGGTGCGGTCCTGTTTAGTCTACTCCGAGAGGGATTAATAGGGCGCCATCATGCAGGCTGTGTTTTGCTCTCCTCTGGTTTCTCTTCTTTTTCCGCGTTACTCTCCTTCATCTGTTCTGGCGCACTTTTTTCTCAACTAAAGTCTAGCCTGATCTGAAGGAATCGCTTCATCTTTTCAGCTGATCCACTTTGTGGTCTTTATCGTTTAACAAATATTCGGCATAATGGCGCCTAAACGTTGTAATTTGTGGTTCAAAAGCAAACAGTTCAAGACAAAAGACAAGCAAATATTACACGGAGTGCGACACTCGCCACCATCCTCTAACACGTCTAGCCCAGATGGTAGCCCAAAGTTGCAGAAATCCCCGACTGGATCACCCAAACTGCCACGCGCCCTGGACGCAGCGGCGCCTCCGGAAACCGGCGACTCACAGATCCCCATGGCAACAACAACAATTAAGCCACAAAATCTCAGATGTTTGTGTTGCACCCGATGTCTCCGGCCATTTCACCGTCTAGGACGGCGGCAAATTAAGACGCCTGCCTGTCCAGCCGTAGGCGTGGCTGACGATCCTACAAACTCTTCAATGTGTTCCCGCTTTCCCAGTCCGACAGGGACTGCGACTAACGCAGAGGCCCCATATTCATGCCATAAACCTTCAACAATGATCATTTCGGGTCCGAGTGAACCGGCCTCCGCGACCGCATCAGGGCCTGTCGGTAAACTCGACCTTACCTTGACTGAAACCATTGACGATAGGTACCAGAAGGAGGGGTCGGAGAGGACAGAAGATGGTGTAAACCGGTGTCTCGAACCGAGAAAGTGTGATCTGGATTCGGCTACACCCTGCCATAACCGAGTGCACACAGGAGAGCCTTTCAGTGCAGCTCTAACATGTGAAAAACCCACTCAAAGTCAGAGCTTTCAGCCATTATCCTCGATACAGGTACACTTTCCTAGAGCCTCTCTTCTAAAAGGAGATCAGGCTATCGAATCCACCTCGTCAGACGGAGGAAGAGGTGTCTATCCGGGGCGGTTGGACACGGAGCTGGGCACATATCGGGTAGCAGCAACTGAAGCAGACACCCACGCAAGCATCACTTATGGCCATGGCTTTGATAAAACAGCTGGGCACACAAACAAGCAAGGCGAGACAGTTTTCATTTCGGCTAAGGTTCATTGTCCCCAATCCAAATCAGATACCCCTTTTAGCCAGACTCGAGATTTTAGCGTTTTGCCCCACTGCACCTACGCAACCAACGCAAACCCAACGGCCACTGTACAAATCCCTTGCACCCCATCTTCCTCCTCCTCAACTGTTACTCCTGTCCCTACCTCTGTAGCGCCGTTTCATCCAAATGGTCAACCAGTTGGGGTGGAAAAAGGGCCTCGATTGGGCGTAGTTGAGACAAACAAGCCTGAATCATGCCCTCTTGGCGCTACTCCAATTTCATCTTTTGCCTCCCTCTCGCCTTCCATCCCTCCCTCTACCCCAATTCGCGCTGATGTCCCGATCGTTTCTGATCGAACGGGATGCAACGATGCTGTAACTACGCACACAACCGCGAAAATCGCCACGACCAACACTACCCATTCTGTCAATTCGACCCAATCTACTTTCATCTTAACTTCGGATCACTACGACCATTTGACTCGGAATAAATTGGTTCCAACTAATTCTGAACGATTTGCTCCTTCGACTGTGGATAAACCGGCACCTCTGGTGAACAAACGTCGTCGACGTCTACGCAAACGCTTACGCAACTGGCTGTATGGTTTGTTGTCACCCTGTGGCTGCGCGCGACGTCGGGCCGGGTCTGAATCTCCCCCATTCACTGCGCACTCTCAACCCTTTCCATTGCCTCGGGAACGGGCTCGTTCTCGGGCTCGGATCTCGGGCAAACCTCGACGCACATGCTGCTCACCCTGCTGCCTTGGATGCTGTACTTGCTGTTGCCGTGGCTACTCGGGCTCTACTGAATCATTTGCAACTGTCCAAACAAATGTGCGTAACTCGCGATACATTCTGTCTCCACAAACGACAGATAAATCGGCTGAGTACAAGGAGCACGAGGTTGCAGCCGGCGATGTCGAGGAATATTGGTACGGATCGCGAAGTCCTGCAACACTTGTCCGTGAATTGCACGAGACAATCTGCAGCGTTGAAGTGATTCAACCGCAAAAATCCCCTAAACACCTGGTGGAGGCAAGCAAAGCAAACCTTACCTCACTCGTAACGGAGCAGGAGGCGAACTCTAGATTGAAATCAGAAGAGCTGAACAATCAGTTCACTCTTCAGGCGGCAACGACGCCGGCATACAGTGGCGGACATCAGATTGAACAGAAGGAGTCCGAGGAGTATACAAAAACCAAAATATATCCGTACACTAGACCAGGCTGTACTACTGCTCTGCTACTAGCCAGCGATGGTTTGAGCGATACCGAAAAATCTTGGCTATCGGAAGCAGTTAATCGTCCGGAGGAGGTGCTGGTCCAAAGACAGGCTAAGAGGATTTTGCTGCCAGAGTCAGATTCACTTTGTTCTGACGAACAAAATGGAGAGGAGGAGAGCTTTAAAGAATTGGAACCAGATGAGCCAGATGCTATACATTTAACCAAAATAAATCTTCCAGAACTTGTGGTCTTAGAGGGAACAGAAGTGGTCACTTTCAGCTCAGTCGACTCCCTAGCTTCGTGGCAGGCAAAAGAACTCCAATGCGACGGGAAGAAGACTAATTTCTACTCTCAGATAGAACAAGAAGACGAGGAGGAGAGTGATTTTGTCAGTATGCAGTCGAGTTCCTCAGTTGACTTGGAGGAGGCCGGCGCATTGGTGAGCCAAGTGGAGACTTTGACAAAAGAAAGCCAACTTGAAGCGTCTCATGAAGAAACCGTATCAGACGATGTGTTTGGTACCTTCTCAGAAGTTGACGAATCAGTACGTCGTGCCGTAATCAGTGATGCCTGCTGCGTTGTCGCCTTGGCGCGGGAGGAAGCCGCGCTCATCTGCCAGTCTCGACATACTGTATTTGCTTCTTTACTGGCAAATGGAACAGTGCCTCATGCTACTGAAGTTATAGCAAATACTGCAGACTGTGAGGCAAGCAAACTGGCCTCAGTGTTGGTGACAGATTTAGACAAGGTGTCTTCATGTGGAGTTACATCCACCTCGAGCATTGCCGGTTCAGTGGATACTCAGATGAACATGCAACTTATCGAGTCAGTCGATGCAGCATCAGAGCCTGAGTACATCTCGCTCGGCAGTACCGAGGTTCAGGTGGGTGGTATCACAAGTCAGAATTTCTAATTATTTCATTTTCATATAATATGCCGGCTTAGGCTCAGATACCGTGCTAGAGAATGACAAGCCTGAACATAAACAACAACATTGAAAGAAGCAAACATTAATAATACCGTATTATGCCTGGTCTCGTAGTAAGCTTTACTGTGTCTTGAATAAAAAATATTTGTCCAAAATGTAGTAGCCGTCCTTATTTGCTCTTAGTATCAGCAGAAGATCCAACATTGTTTGCGTGTGTATGAGGAATATAGAAGAGAATTAAATCCTGGAGTTGATTCACCAATACTTTTGAGCCACTCTTTTCTGATAGTGTTTTTTATTTCTCAAGTTTGACCTTTGGTGTAGCATTATCTATAGAAATAGCATTTATCATTGCTTAGCATGCTACTTATTGCAGCAAAAATAAACAATGAGGCTTTTC